TTATACATCTTGGCTTCGCTGACCCACATGCTGTGCGCTCGTGTTACAGAGGTTCTTTCTTTGCGAGGAAGCGACTTCAACTGGCGCATGCAGTGGGTTACCATCCGGGCACTTAAGAAGCATCCTCAAGCAAACTTGACTAGATGACCTGCAAGAGTTTTGGTTAGTTCTCTTGTTGGAAAAGCACCAAAACGTGGGTTTCTTATGATTGGCTATGATTGGCTTATTTTGGCATCCCAGGTGAAAAAAATGCTGCTCTCCGCTACACTTCCAGCTTTGCGCAGTTTGCGGGCCAAAGGAAAAACCTACAAGAGGACCCGAGCGTGTGGCGCGCGTGGGCGTGTGACTTTTCAAGACTGTTGGAAATGGCCAAAAGGCCAGGGCTACTTGTTCCCAAACAGGCTGAACAACGGCCATTTAACAAAAGACATTGCTTGCCATGCTATTGTCAAAGCCAGAATGAGTTTCACTGCACCAAAAGGTTTGTCAGCAATGCTGGACACAAGCCGAATTCGGACTCATAGTGGTAGACACCGTATGATAAACGATTTGAAATCGAGTGGAGTTCCAACAGAAGCTGCAATGCTATATGCTAGGATTAAAGACCGGAAGACATTTGACAAGTATGGTCAACTAGATCAGGAGCAATCTGGCAAATTGCTTAATAGAAATCAGAATCTCAAAAGAACCTTGAAGCAAATGTACAGTTGAGATTCAGGCTGCACAGCGACGAGTGAATTAAGCTGGACTGGTTGGCTAAATGTGCCTCCTTGTGATTGAAAAAGATTGAAAAGCAAGCGAATTAGATGAGCAAATAACATGTCTGGATGTTTTTTGTATTGGAGTGTTAGCCTAAGCCAAACGTCACATCGTTACGTGTCATACGCGCGCACTGACTAATTACTGGTGCAGTAAAAGTGAAGCGGACAATGAAGCAGCACTTTTCACACAAACCCCTTCAAATCTTGCACTGTACGGCAACTGAATTTACTTTCCTAGCTGCACACAATCATCACTTCTTTGCAGAAACGCCGATGGCTGGCAGCAAAGACTTCAGCAATTGTTCAATCACCGTCAAGGTGAAGCTATTCCCTGCCATCTCAGCCAGCTTTTTTGAACTGACACCTGTAGGGCATGCCACGCAAGTAGCAGGGATGCCTTGAGCACGAAGGACTTCATAGGGAGTAGCATAGCGCTCCTTGTGGGTTAACCACAAGCTGTTCGAGTGGCTCTTTGTGATTGTCGGAAATTTGTTCTGGCTGCAAGACACTCCAAAGCCACCCGCCAAGTCCAACACCCATGGATCCTTGCGGAAGTTGATGCCTTTCTCCTTCAACTGCTTCATGCCATCGTGCAAATTTTTCAAGTGTGTGGTGCATAGTGAGTCCAACTTAGTTTTGGCAACATCTGAAGCGAGGACCGCATCCAAGCCAACCGTGGGAAGTTCAGAAGGCCACTGCCATGGTTGCTTCAACCTATCCTTCCTGACAGCAATGATGTAAACCCTGCACCGAGTCGCGGGTACTCCGTGAGAATAGGAATCGATCACCTTCCAGTCCACATAGTACGCCTTCCGGCCAATGGACTGCAACAGCCACAAAACCTCAGCAAAGAACTCCTTGTACTTTGCCGACGTTGCAAGATCCTTGACGTTCTCCATTAGAATCAGGTCTGGGAGGATGGCGTCCAACATGTTCAGCTCAGAATAGACGACCTGGCCCCGCTTGTCTTTGCTTCCTTCCTGTTTGCCCTGGCGAGAAAAGCTTTGGCAAGGAAAGCCTGAAGTTTCAATCAAGCAAGCTTGCGGGTTCCGCTGCCTCTCTTCTTTGAGCTCAAGCAACTCTGTCCTGCTGCGCTTCGTGCAGTCAGCGAAGACCTTTTCGATGTTGGGATGGCAAGCTTTGAGCACCTGGCGGAAGACGTTGTCAATTTCACTAGCAAACCAGTGACGATATCCCTTGCCCTTGAGAACTCTTCCCAAAGCCATCGCGCCGACGTCCAAGCCAGAGCAGTCACTACAATACCAAACAGCACGGCCGCCTTTTGGAAGAAGGCGTGGCTCCACACAAAGCTGAGCATGGGATGGGTGCGGACGCTGCACATTCTCCATGTCTTTCTTCACACCCTTAGATTTTGCTAGTGGCTTGGCGGCTGGGCGCTTCATTCTGAAAGCTAAACTTAAGCGCCAACTCAACCTAAAGCTTGAACCCTCAGAGTCAGAGATGGAGTGAATTCTCAGGGACAATCAAACGAAGCCAAAAACTCTCCTAACCTCTTCTCCCAAATACTCTCCACAAGTGGATCAAACTTTGCAAAAGTGAATCAATCTCTCCAAAACCTCTCGCTAAATCTGTAAAGGTAAAGCTCTTAGTCAAAAGGACATCTTGCAAGTCTCACACGATTTCGCAATGAGGCACGCTGCACAGTTGTGAATAACTCCAAGCGTTTTCCACATGCGTGCGCGACATGCACAGGTATGCTGTTTAGGATAGACTCACGCGACGTGCGCTCGTCAGACTGTACAGTGGATGTTGTGGGCGGTTGTAAAGTTCACACCGTTACACACTCAGTGAACCCTAACCAGAAGGTCATCTTATTTCAAGTGACGTTGATAAGCCAGGCCATGCTTCAGAATCAAACATGAAATAAACCAACACCATTTTATATGAAACATTATTATGACACCAACACCATGTTTCATTTTCCAACACAAACGCAAATTAGCAGAGCAAGGCTGGGTGATTTGGCTACACTGCCTCTCACTCTTTGGCGGCCGCGTCCCCTTCACCTTCAGTCCCTCCAGACTCAGCTGCAGCTGCCGCGATCTTCTTCAGCAACTCGTCCCTACTATCAGCTGCAGGACCTGCTCCTGAAGAGGGTGGCTCTCCCTTTTTGAGTTTTTTGGGGATGGTTTTGGGGCCGGCTGGATCTTTTCCAGATCCGCGTTTTCTCGACTTCGGCTCAGTCGTTCCTCCTTCATCGGCATCGGTGCTGTTCGACAAAGCTTTCAGTTCCTGCGCAAAGCTCGCGTCATAGAGGTGCTCATCGCTGGAGTCTGCCATGCCACTGAGAGTCCTGCTCACAAGCTTCTTCATCAAAAGATCCCTGTGCGTCTCCGTCATGCAAATCCCGATGTAGGGGATTCGCAGCCGAATGCATTGCAATCCCCAATGAGAAGATCCAGGAGTGAGGTCAAATACCATGCGGCCTTGCACGAAATGGTGAAGCTCAGCGGCCAGCACTTGTGGAGACTCGTGGTAAAAGGCTGGTACAAGTTCATCGTGCTTCAAGGCATCCGCTTTGTCACGTGGGACAGGGCACGCCCCTCCCGGCAAAGGCATGTTGTCCTTCCCGAAGACGCTGCGCTTCACGTGCAGGGGAAGAAGCCAAGTCTCACTGCCATCCACCCATGAAGGTTGAGTCAAAGGGCCGATCACGTTTCCCCTGGTGTTACCAGAGCTGACCAATCTTGCTTGCACTTTGAACTCTAAGGGTTCCGTAGTGACAAAAGACACCGTCTCACAAAGTTGCAGGGGACTTTTTGAAGCTCGCTCCATCTTCTTCTCGACAGAGTCATAGGTGTAGGTCACGACGTGCTTCATGATCTCGTACTTCTTGCCTGGCAGGTGTTTGATGATGTTCTTGCTGCACCAATCATTGTCCTTTCCACCATCCAATGCCATCAAGACATCGCCATCAGCCAAGTCACCATCCTCCCTGGTTGATAGGACAGAGTTCAACAAGCGTTGAACCTGAGCAGGCCTTGTCGGCGGCAGCCTGTACTTGCCTTGGGATCCACTTTCACACAAGGTCTTGGCATCAAACACGATGATGGCATAAGATTTGCTGTCCACATCACCCCGAACCTTTGTGGCCATCAAGCTTTTGAGCTGTGATTCTAGGTCATCACAGTCAGGGGAGTCCACGCACAAGGTCACTTGACCGGCAGCACGCCTCTCGGCAACACGAACGGCGGCTCTAATTTTGTGCATCTTCTCTGCCTCCTCATCATTGCTGGGCTTGAAGCTGCGTAGAAGGTTTTCAGCCTGTGACAGGTTCTGCAACACGCTCATCTCTTCAGCCACTGCAGCAGCTTCACATTCCATGTTGTTCTTGGCCTCCTCATCCACTTCGGAAGGTGGACAGGTTTCCTTCTGGTAGGCCCCCTTCGCCTTCTCGATGTAATGCCTAAGATCGGATGCGTCTATGAATCTCTATAACTTTAATGATGGACATTCAGGTTCAACCTCAACATTCTTCATCATTGAAGGCTTCGCTTGTCTCGTTTTGACTGCTTGGAAAGAAAAAACATCATTGTATCTCCACGCACACATGTTCAAGCCATCTCTTCTTGCAATGTACCAGATTCAAATCATTTCAAATCCAAGTAGCTTGATGTCGCCATGGTCAAGGATGTCTTCAACACCTCGACGATTCTTAAGCTGGGTCCGAATCATTTCGTCATGCTCATAGCCATAAACCAGCGTCTCGAAGGCCAGCAGCCAGAGGTCCGCTGACTCAGGCCAACTCCCACGAGGTTCATAGGTCTTCTTGACATCGTCGCTGTCAAAGTAGCCTAGTTTTGCGCGACAAGCTTCAACTGATTCAACCAATCCTCGGATCTCTCCCTTGATCGAGCTCTCCCATGCTGGAAACTCTGACTCCATCATTCTCAAAAGTTTGTCACGTAGCTGCTTCTTGAAGAGCATCAGTTTGATGAGGGACACGTTTCCTCCAGCGCTTTCTTTCAGTGAACGAATTGGGATTGCGTCCTTGTTGTCGGTGAGGAACCACCAATCAGCAAGAAGAGATAGGACCCAATGCATCAAGTTCTCCTTCTTCTCGCACTGTACTGCCACCTCACGGAGTTTGTAGACAGAATCCAAAGGGTTGACTGCCATTTGGTCCAACTGGAAAAGAATAGCCTGGATGCGGTTGGAGCTGAGCAGGGAAGTGAAAAGCATGGAGGCGACTTCAATGAAGGCAACTGACACATCTTCACTGGTCTCTGCAAGCTTAACCTGCTTGTAGTACTCAGCGAGTGCAAACTTGTTCTGCTTCTTGTCAGTCGTGGCTTCAAGCTGCTTCTTGAAGTCCATGATTTCGTAGATTCGCATGAGGGAACTTACCGACATGTTCAGCTTCTTCACAATCAGGTCCTCTCGCTTCTGCACGATGCTCTTGAAGGCGACTTCCAAGCGGTTGTGCTCATCCATGACCTGGTTTGTTGCTGTTTCCGGACGACGCGGTGAATTTGGAACCCAGGTTTTCTTCGAATTCGATGGGTTCAGCGCCCCGACCATAAAATTAAACTGGCCACGCTCAAAACGCTAAACTAATCAATTCAGAGCGCTTCAAACCGCATAGGCACACTCATCAAAACCTCCTTCCACGCTTTGAGGATCTTCTTGCCCAAGGCATTCTCGACGGCGGCAGACACAGCTTGTCGCAATGCATCACGCATTTCTGGAGGGTCAAATCCCTTCAGACTTCCCTTCAATTTGTGGGGTAGCTCGCCAGCGTTCAGGTACACCAGGACGGGTTCAGTCAGGTGAGCTGGTGTCTCAAAGAAATGGTTTTGCAAGTTGTCAAGTCTCTTGGGGTACTTTGGGATGTTGGGTTGGAAGTCCCACGTCAAGTTGAGCCAGTACAGAGGGCAAGAGCATATGTACGCCTGGCGGCGTCCAAGACAAGAAGCTGCTTCCTTCTCATCATAGGGACGATGGCCAGACCCGCCATTGATCTCTCCATCCACCAAATCACCAAATGAATCCTTGATTGTGGCGTCACAGGCAGCAAGCTTCGCCATGATCTGAGCATTGACAGCGTCACTGCTCGTCAAGGCAGGGGCGGCAGGCAAAATCTTTGCCTTCGCCTTCGCCTTGGCCTTAGCGACAGCCTTGGATTTCGCCATTGCCTGCTACGGTGATTGAAAGTTCTTAGTGGTCCTTCGCCACGAACAAAATCTGCAAAGCAGACTCGAGCAGCTGAGAGTCGACAAAGAATGACATAAGTGTCTGACTGAATCTTTGAAAGACTGCTGGGGCAACATGGAGACCTCACCATCAACAAACACTGAACGTGCGAATTCGCAATCTCACTATTTCGGAGCCGGACGTCCGGCTCGTGATTTGATATGTTGCTGTTTCGCGTACACTGTTTCACACACAGCCAGCGTTTTGTTTTGATCCAAAAAAACACTAACTGTGCACAATCGCTCATCGATACACATGGAGCATGACATCCAGCTCCAAAAGAATCACAGAGCGCTGTCGCATCCAGTGAGCTGCGCTCGACCTTTTTTTTTTTCCCCAGGTGAGTTTTCTTAAGCGTTTATTTGTGCTTTAGGTGATCTGCAGTTTGGCTTGCAAATTCAGCTGGCTCCGGCTGATACGAAAAATGATGTTGTTTCCAAAAGCGTGGGAAGCAATGACATGTGACCTCACAGAAACAAATTGAGTTACAGCAACACAAACTTCAACCAGAGTTGTTTCAGGAGCTCAGGGCTCAGCTTCATGAATCATCGGTCTAACGAGTTCGAATACCCCTCAACGATCACACATCCCCATCAAGGAGTGACAAATCTGTAGATTTGCCCAACTCTCCATGGCCTTCTGCAATGAGAACTTGCAGAGTACGCCGCTCCACTCCTGGAAATCGAGCATGAGATCGAGGAGGAAGACCTTTCTTGGAGGACAACGTGCTACACCTTTCCTGGAGCGATGTCTTTGGGATTTGTCTTTGGAAAAACTATCACATGGGAAGACTGAAAGGACGGACCGCATTTGTCTGTCTCCTGGGCGCTTTTCCGACGAACAGGGATCGTCCGTCGGTGAGACCGTTCACCACCCCGTGGCACCCTATGGGTGAAACCGATCAGGTCATTCAGGTCATTACCGATCAGCATTCACTCACCGAAGGTCGAACCCACCGAGTCGGTCCAACCCACCGAAGGTGCGAACTCGAAGAGTCGAACTCGGTGCGGTCCGAAGAGTCGAACGGCGATTTCGGCGCCGTCCGAAGAGTCGAACGGTTGCACCTTTTGGCCGATGCTCCGTGGTCCCCAGGGTCCCACACGTTCGGTCACCAGGACCGGTCCCACCGTTAAGGAAAAAAGGGGAGAGGAGAGACAGAGAAAAAGGGGAGAGGAGAAAGTGTAAAAAGTAGCTAGTTAATGTTTAATTCTTAGTTATTTTCCTGGTCTAATTCATTCATTTCCTGTCTTTCCTTCTTGTTTGAAGAGTTTTGATGGTATTTATCAAATTTTAGGATTTGTTGAAAATTGTTTCCGTTGGCAAAACCGTTTGAGAGAAGAATTCACCGGTGAGAAGAACATCGTCGGTGTCCTTCAGGTCGACGCGGGCGATCGTGCGGACGGAGTCCGGAAAACGGTTGGCCTCCTTCATCAGCGATGGCCTCCAACCTAGCTTTAGTAGTTACCGTTAGAACTATAGTAATCAACTAATAGTTAGCTATAGTTAGCTATAGTAATTCTACGGAGTAGTTAGCTAATAGTTAGCTATGGAGTAATTAGCTATGGAGTAGTTAGCTAATAGGTAGCTAGAGTAGTTAGCTATGGAGTAGTTAGCTAACAGTTAGCTAGTTAGCTATGGAGTAGTTAGCTAATAGTTAGCTATTACAGTAGTTAACTAAAGAGTAGCTAAATGGAGTAGTTAGCTAATAGGTAGCTAGAGTAGTTAGTTATGGAGTAGTTAGCTAACAGTTAGCTAGACTAGTTAGCTATGGAGTAGTTAGCTAATAGTTAGCTATTATAGTAGTTAACTAAAGAGTAGTTAGCTAACAGCTAATTTAATAGTAGTTAGCATTCAGTTAGCTATACTATAGAGTAGTTATAGTAGTTACACTAATAGTTAGTTAGTGTCTTCTTATTAAAGACAAGCGCATTGCCCCTCAGGCACTGCGCATTGGTTCATGGCCTCTACCAGGCGCCCTGGCGGCGAAACACCCTCGTGGCCTGCGCCGACACCTCAGCCTCAACGCAAAGCAGGATGCAGCTGAACTTCTCCTTCGCAGCGCGGTCCAAGAAGTGCTGCTTGCTGCGGGCGATGGACCACTTGCTTCGACATGCCTCGACCCTGCACCGCTGGTGAGTGGCTCTGGAGCGGAAAAGGGGAGAAGGCGACAGGTCTTCGATGTCATGTCACGACTGTCACGTCTTACTCCTCTATATATCCTCGAGTATATATCCTCGCCACAATATCTATTTATTTACATAAACCGATCGCAGCGTTTGCATATGGTGGACAGTGACAGGCAAGTGGTATTTCACATTGAGAATTTGAACCTTTGGGTCTTCCTCATATTCTTTTTTGGGTCTTCCTCATATTCTTTCTTCATATGATAAGAGAAACGAATGCTTGCAGTGTTTTTCCTCTAAGAGAGACGAACCAGCTTGCGGTTTCAGTAGGTCTATCTTGAAGCTTCCTTAAGGATCCCTTGATGGCATGACTCATTGATTCCTAGACTTCCAGAGATCTCTTTGGGAATGTTTTCTCATTCACATCAGAAGGACAAGGGAAAAGAAAAGGGAACACAATACTTAATACTTAGCGCTTAGTATACTTTCAACTAAGGAACTTCGACACTGGTAGAACCTCAATTGGGTGATAACGGTTGAGACACTGGTTGAGACCATGTTCCGCAATAGCTGTTGAACCAAAGGTTTGTATTATGGTGACTCCTTCCCACCAAAGGCCTCTGGATCGTGGACTGCGCAATCCGTGGCCAGCGATTCAGAAAAGAATCCGTCATCCAAAGAATGCGCTTTGTATCCATAGCGCGCTTGAATGTGTGCAATGGCCCCTTCCCATGCTTGATGTGCTGTGGCCCACACACGACACCACCTGTCAAAATAGCATTCCAATTCACCACCAAAGGAACGTTCCCCAAATTGTCCACGATGAAGAGCGAAGCCTCCTGACCAAGCATTCTATTTTTCGAAGGTCTAAACCTTACAACTGTGATTGATGAGCTCCATTGTGTTTTATGTTTTTCAAAAACATTTCCAATTATATTATAACATATTATAACAATGTCAATTGAGGTCTCCTGAACAGGAACACTGCGCAATTGCAGCGATTGAAACTCCCTGCTGTTGGCAAGGTCAGAGACTTCTGCGTCCAGGTACGCATCCCGATTCTGCAAAATGGGAACTTGTGGTGGTTGCGCACATTGGGCCCGTTTGCGATGCTCGTTGAGATAGGTTCTATCTCTATCGCGCTTTCTGTTCAACGCGTTCAGCACCGCCACAAGCTGCTCGTCAGAAGCATCTTTCAATGCGCCCAAACGGCCAGCGCGAGATTCTTCCAGCAGCGCTCTGGTCTTCTTGTCCTGGTTACAAACTTTTTGAGGGAATGCCAAGCTAGAAAAAACATGAAGCCCAAGTCCATAGGCAGGCCTGTGCGTCCATTCAATATATATTAGTCTCAGGTTTAAAATTGCTTCGGTGTAAAACAATGAAGACAACACAAACAATCCTTGAGGAAGTCCATTTCACGATCGTGGCCCGCAGTCCACATGTCCACAGCTTTGCGCTCCCCACCACGACGACGGCCAACAGCCCGAGCCATGCGCCCAATCTTTGCGCGTTGTTCTTGCGCCCACCCGTCCACAGAAGGCTTCTGACGTGATGGCAATGGTTTCTGGCGAGGGCAGCCCAAATCACGACGGCTCTGCCGAGCATCTCTACCAGAAGCCCTGGGCTTACCATAGAATCTCTTCCAAATGGCAATGGCACCAGCAATGATCTTGCTCTCTACATCTGCAGACTTGCAAATGTCAATCGCCTGCTGCATTGGTTCCAAAACAAATCTTAAAAAGTGTCTGTAATCATTACGAAAATACCACAATAAACATACTAGGCTACTACTGTCCTATAGCAACAAGGCAACCATCGTCCCAGCAAGCCACTGAATGACTAAATGTTTAAATATGGTTGAACAAGTTGAAGAAAAAACGTACCTTAACCCACCAAAACCGCTGCCTCCATGACATCGTTTACATGGGGCAAAAGCTGGAGGTGATCATAAAGTTTTTGGCCAGCAGAGAAGGATTGCTCCACCCCACTCGTACTCCCACCAGCTGCAAAATAGTGCACCAGCAATGGCATGAGAGCACCAAGGTTGATTTTGTTGTGGGTCCTAGTAGCTCGGCGCGCTGCTTGCAGCCAAGCTTGCACAGATGAGACCCCCTCGTCGCCCACAACCCGTTTGGACATGTACCAAAGCTGCAAAAACTGTTTGTGGGCTTCACCGCGCTCGGTATCAGGTAGCCCAAAGGCTTGAAGCAGTCGACAGATGGAACGAAAACACTTCTCACGCCAAGACTCAGGTTGAACGCCCCAAACGCTTGAAGAACTTCATAATGAGGGAATTCAGCGTCTATAGTGTTTTCTACTAGAACGATCCAATTTTGCATGCGCTTCAGGCATCTCTGCAGCACGTCGTCCGGCACATGCCCACCTCCGAGAACAAGGTTGGATTGGCCTGGCACAGCAAGCGAAAGGCTGTGCCGCAACACTTTCAGCATGTGTCCACAGCAACCAGAAGATAAGCAAGCTGGCGTGGGTCCTGTAAAAAGGGCTCGAATGCGATCTTTGAAAGTCATGAGGTAGCTTGGCAACTCATCAATAGGAAAGCCCTGATAGTCCAATAGACGAATCAACAAAAGGTTCTCGTTGGCGCAATCTGCCATCATAGCAAATTGAACGCTCTTCTCCAAATCCAGCCAGCCGCAGAATTGCGCAGCACTCTTCCCCTCCTGCTGCCCACGACGCTCCTGAGCGCATTTGATAAAAATCCAAAAGTCAATTTCTCTAACGCCAGAAAAATTGTGTCCAAAATACATCGAATTTATCTATTTGCCTACTTAATTTCTATGGAAAATTGATGAAACCACTTGGAAAGTAACTGAAACTTCCATTGAATTTTGCATAACCAAGGTTCCCACGCGATACGGTTCACCGTCGTAAGAAATGCGTGATAGAACAGGCAAACACGCATCATAGGTTTGGCAGCACTTGCAAACCGCTGTGGCGCGAATCCCAAGTCCAGCATGCCCTTCTTTGCTGACACCGCCGACACATCTGGATCAATGCGCTTGATAGCGCTGGCAAACCAGGCCTTGAAAGCTTCCGAGTATTGAATTAACCTCACCGGGCTTCCACTCTCGAACACGAAGAAATTGGACACCTCCTCCAAGAAGGGGTCCGCTTTCCATGGACGCGACAGGTTTCTGCAAACAGCGTGTGGCTTGTCTCTAACGATCACTTTCAAACAAGGCAGGTGTGGCATATATTGCAATGCAGTTGACTGCCTGGCCAGCATGAAGCCAGCTCGAATTTCGTCTGAAGCAGAGTCTGATACATAAACTTCAATCGAGGCTACCACACGCGCAAACAGCTCTGGGTCCAGTCTGGCTGAATGAGGCTTTTCGAGATGGGGAGGACTGTGAAATCTAGTGCAGAATCTTCGCAAAGTTGCCATGGTTGCGTTCATCAACGCGACAGAGTCCAATCCAAACTCACCCAAATCGGAGGTGCCAAAAAGCCTTCTTCACGAACCAACTTGGAGCTAGCAGTGGTAAAGCGAAGACTCAAACGTCCAGCACGAGCATCCTGGAAAAGAGTTGTGCTATGAATCACCTTTCGCTGATCAGCGCCCATGCCAGGATCAAACAAACCACGTTTGGCTTCCCTGTGACTCTCTGCGAGGCACCACAGCAGTTTCCTGCACTTTTTTTGGCCTCCCACCGTGGAAATGCCACTAGTGCCAATGGGCGCTGTGCGGATATGTTGCAGCAAATCTTTGAATTGCTTGGAGGTTGGAGCCAAAGCTTCATCTAAATCTGGCACGTGTTTGCAGGCTGCTCGCCTGTGGACCTCCGATTCCTCGTGTTTGGTCAAACGTCTCGGCTGCAAAGCCAAGTAGCTCGTCACACTCTGCTGGCGCCAGTGCATGTGATCACTCTTCTTTGATGCAACATGAGTCCCATACGCCTGACGACACACACTACACCCAACTCCAAAGGTTGGCTCGGTTCGGTGCTCTAACCAAGGGTGTGCCAAGCTGAGTTTCTCGAAGTTTCTCTCAAAGTAGCACGCGCTGCATCGTGAGACATCGCATGCTGATCCCCCCTTGCAACAGCCTAGCTTTGACATCGTACCTCAAAGATCTCAAAGTGGCTGCGGTAAAAACAACTCAAAATGGCTGCGGTGGAGTAAAACAACAAGTGGTTGCGGTGAAGCTAAAGGATTAACAAAGTTGACTGCGGAGCTTGCCACATCAATGACAAATCTTCCATTTCAAAACGCATCATCCAGAACTTATGCACTCTGATTGCATTTGTTCGGGCTGCAACATTGTCACGCATAATGCTCACAAAACAAAAATGTTTCAACTAAAAAACAAATGAACGCTAACAAATAATGCCCTGGGCGGTGCGTTGAGAACAAACAGAATCCAATCCACAGGACACTTGAACACACGTCGGCGTAGTAGGCGCAACAACAACGCGCGTTGGAAGCACAGAACCCAGGGAAAAGGCGATGTCCCGCGAACGGGAGTTTTCGTTCCAGAGCGGCAACGCGCCAAAAATACTAAAAGGCGACCTGCCG